CCAAGAAGGGACTTCAGCGAGCTAGAGTGAGGAGGAGAAGGAGAAGGGGGGGAGGAGGATAGCGCCCCCGCCCCGAGTTGGCGGGTAGGGGGAGGAGGAGGAAGAGGAGGAGGAGGAGGAGGAAGGAGGAGGAGGAGGAGGAGGAGGAGGAGGAGGAGGGGAGGAGGAGAGGAGGGGAGGAGGAGGAGGAGGAGGAGGAGGAGGAGGTGGAGGAAGAGCGGAGGAAGAGGAGGAGGAGAGGAGGAGAGGAGGAGGAGGAGGAGGCGGAGGACAAAGAGGAGGATGGGGAGGAGGAGGAGGGGGAGGAGGAGGGGGAGGAGGAGAGGCTGGGGGATTGTGTCGGACCTCGTCGTTTTCATATGGTTTGTATCGAGTGAAACGCTGCTCCGCCTTGCTTTGTTGAGCGAATGTTTGATGGTTTGTCTTTGCTGCGTAATCCTTTCCTTTTCTTCCTTACTTTCGTTTGTTCGTTCTCTCGTCATCTACTCCACTCTCTTCGTCTCTCTCTCTCTCTCTCTCTCTCTCTCTCTCCGTCTCTCTTTTTCTTCGTCTCTTCGTCTCTCTCCCCCCGAGCATGGTCTTCGAAATTCCAGCCCTGTGCCAAGCGGCATGGGGTTGGAATGTCGAGGACCATGCTCGGGGGGCATGTTGTTGGACCCTCGGACGTTCTGAGTTGTTTATGTTGTTTCCAGCGGTGTCTTCCTGTTGTTTCTTACGTTTCGTCCCCTCTTGTATCATCTGTCCTGGTCTCTTCGTCTCTCTCTCTCTCTTTCTCTCTCGCTCTCCCTCTCTCTCTTGCTCTCTCTTTCCTCTTTGGTTGTTTCGGTATGCTCGTATCGTTCCTGTCTCCTTCTCCCTCTCTCTCTCACTCTCTCGTTCTCTCTCTATCCTCGATCCTCTCCCCTCCACTTGAGGCCCCGTGTGCACAAGGAAGGAGGAGAAGGAGGATAGGAGAAGGAGGAGGAGGAGGAAGAGAAGGAGGAGGAGGAGGAGGGGGAGAAGAATCAGATGATGGAGTCGTGCAATGGAATGCTGGAAATTGCAACTTCGTCTGAGGCTCGTGATGCCGAAGGCGGATGCGGGCTGGGGGGCAATCCTTTGTGGTTGATTTCAATCAGAATCCCCCTGGGGGTTGCAGTAGGAATCCTTCTGCGACGGGAGGCATTGGAACTCGCCCGCGCAATGCCAGCGCAATGCCAAAGCAGTGCCAACACAATGCCAGCGCAATGTCAATGTGATCCCAAATCCAATGCCAATGCAATGTCGTTGCGGAGTGTTCTAATAGGAATTCTTCTGCGAAGGGAGGCATTCGGACTCGCCAGCGCAATACTAAAGCAGTGCCAACGCAATGCCACACCAATGCCAAGGCGACACCAATCCAATGCCAATGGGAGCAACCCGTTGTGATAGATTTCAATCGGAGTCCTTTCTCTGGCGGGTTATAATAGGAATCCCTCCGCGAAGGGAGGCATTAAGACTCGCCATCGCAACGCCAGCGCAATGCTCAAACAGTGCCAACGCAATACCAAATCAATGCCAAGGCGACCCGAACCCGATGCCAATGCAATGTCGTGTGGGGCAGTCCTTTGTGGTGGAGTTCAATGAGAATCCTTCCTCAAGGGGTTGCAAGAGGAATCCTCCTGCGAAGGGAGGAATTCGGACTCGCCAGCGTAATGCCAGCGCACTTCCAGCACAATGCCAGCACAAAGTTAAACCAATGCCAATTGGGAGCATCCTCCCTTGGCGTATTTCAATGGGAATATTTTTGAGATGGTGTCATTGCGAACCCATGTTCGGAGGATGCCAATAGGAATCCTTATGTGAAAAGGGCTTCGAATGCAATCCTTCGGTGGAGGATGCCACTGTGAAACATTATTGTGTTTGTGTGTGTGTGGGGGGGGTCACTAGGCATCCTTCTTGATGGGGTGGATTAGCAAGAATGTTCCTGTGGAGCGCCCGATGAGGACTGGCCAGCGCAATGCCAACGCAGTCCCAACGCAATGCAAAACCAATGCCATGGCGATCCTAATCCAATGCCAGTGGGGAAATCCTTTGCGCTAGATTCCAATAGGAACCCGTTTGTTTGAGGGTTCCAATAGAAATCCTTCTGCGAAGGGAGGCATTGAAACTCGCCAGCGCAATACCAGGGCAATGCCACAGCAGTGCCAACGCAATGCCAGCGCAATGCAAAGGCGATCCAAACCCAATGCCAATGCAATGCCAATTTGGGAAGTCCTTTGTGATTTCAATAGGAATCCTTCAGTGGAGGGCTTCGCATGGAATCCTTCTGTGGGGGATTTCAATATGAACCCTTTTTGAAAAGGGTTTCAATAGGAGCCCTTCTTGTGGGGGGTTTCAATGGGAGTCCTTCTGGAGAGGGTTCCACCAGGACTCGCCAACGCAATGCTTGCGAAGTGCCAGCGCAATGCCCACGCACTGCAAAGCACAATTCCAGCGCAATGCCAAACCATTGCCGAACCAGTGCGAATGCAATGCCAACGGGGGGATCCTTTCTTTCGAAGCATCTCAATAGTAATCCTTCTGCAGGTGATCCCAATAGGAACCAATATGTAAAGGATTTCAATAGCAATCCTTACGTGGAGGGTTTCGGTAGGAATCCTCCTGTGGGGCATTTCGCTATATGAACCCTCAACGTGGGGGCTTTCAATCGGAATCCTTCCAAAGGTGAGGGCAGATGAGGCCACGTCGGATTGTTTTGCGCGCAGTCCCCTCCCCCTCCTGGGGGGGGAGGAGAGAACATTAGCCTGGCGAAAGACCCAACCATACGCAGTTGTGACTACCGCAATTGTGAATAACATCTTCGCCCGCGCTCCCGATGTGGCAACAACTTCCCGCCGGAGCCCGACATGCTCAGGGACACGTTCGTGGCCGTCTTCGCGGGCGCCGACGACGACGAGGACGGCGCCCCCCTGACCGAGGAGCAGAAGCAGGAGAGGGCTCTAAGAGCCATGAGGGAGGGTGCCACTGGGGCCTTCGGTGGAGCTCCTATGGGGCCACGATCCTCGTGAGGGGTGTGCCGAAATGGCCCGAGGCCGCCATGCGAACGCAGCCACTGGAGCCTTCGGTGGAGCTCCTATTGGGCCACGATCCTGGTGAGGGGTGTGCCGAAATGGCCCGAGCCGCCATGCGAACCCTGCCACTGGCGCCTTCGGTGGAGCTCCGTATGGGGCCACGATCTTCGTGAGGGGTGTGCCGAAATGGCCCGAGGCCGCCATGCGAACCCTGCCACTGGCGCCTTCGGTGGAGGCCACGATCCTGGTGAGGGGCCGTGTGCCGAAATGGCCCGAGGCCGCCATGCGAACGCTGCCAATTGGGCCTTCGATGAAGCTCCCTATGGGGCCACGATCCTCGTGAGGGGTGTGCCGAAATGGCCCGAGGCCGCCATGCGAACGCTTCCACTGGAGCCTTCGGTGGAGCTCCCTATGGAGCCACGAAATGCTGTACTGGGTGTGCCGAAATGGCCCGAGGCCACCATGCGAACGCAGCCACTGGAGCCTTCGGTGGATCTCCCTATGGGGCCACGATCCTCGTGAGGGGTGTGCCGAAATGGCCCGAGGCCGCCATGCGAACGCAGCCACTGGAGCCTTCGGTGGAGCTCCCTATGGGGCCACGATCCTCGTGAGGGGTGTGCCGAATGGCCCGAGGCCGCCATGCGAACGCTGCCACTGGCGCCTTCGGTGGAGCTCCCTATGGGGCCACGATCCTCGTGAGGGGTGTGCCGAAATGGCCCGAGGCCACCATGCGAACGCAGCCACTGGAGCCTTCGTGGAGCTCCCTATGGGGCCACGATCCTCGTGAGGGGTGTGCCGAAATGGCCCGAGGCCACCATGCGAACGCAGCCACTGGAGCCTTCGGTGGAGCTCCCTATGGGGCGACGAAACGCTGTACTGGGTGTGCCGAAATGGCCCGAGGCCACCATGCGAACGCAGCCACTGGAGCCTTCGGTGGAGCTCCCTATGGGGCCACGATCCTCGTGAGGGGTGTGCCGAAATGGCCCGAGGCCACCATGCGAACGCAGCCACTGGAGCCTTCGGTGGAGCTCCCTATGGGGCCACGAAACGCTGTACTGGGTGGGTGAAACGCAGGGAGGAGAGGGGAGGAGGAGGAGAGGAGGAGGAGGAGGAGAGGAGGAGGAGGAGGAGGAGGAGGAGGAGGAGGAGGAGGAGGAGGAGGAGGAGGAGAAGGAGGAGGAGGAGGAGGAGGAGAGGAGACGCGGGCCACCGTCTCTTCAAAACGAGGACCCAACACCACAGGATGGTTGGAAACAAAAATGTGGGAGGTGGGGAGGAGGAGGAGGAGAATGAGAAGGAGAAGGAGGAGGAGGAGGAGGAGGAAGAGGAACAGGAGGAGGAGGAGAAGGAGAAAGGAGAGAAGAAGACAGAGGAGTAATGATGCGTTACCCCTAAGGAAGACTACACGAAAACACCACTCGAAAGGCGAGGTCCGACACAATCCCCCGTTCTCGAGGAGGAGGAGGAGGAGGAGGAGGAGGAGGACGAGGAGGAGGAGCAGCAGCAGCAGCAGCAGCACGAACAGCAGGAGCAGGAGGGGCGGGAAGGATAAAAAGGGGCAGCCAGGAGCAAGGGGGGTGGAGGATGCACAGCCAAGGAGCGAGAAGAGAGGCTGGAGGAGGGAGCACCGAGGAGAAGAGACACGAGCGGATGGCGGAGAGAGGAAGGAGGGAGGCCCAGCGGGAGAGGCGCGAGGCCAGGGAGAGGCGCGCGAGGAAGCAGCGCGGGCCAGCACTGGCACGCACAGAGGATCGGCGGCGAGCGGAGGAAGGGGGAAACGAGAAGGAGGAGGCCTGCTCAGAAGGCGGCGGGACTTCTGCGAAGCCCTCGCGCCGTCTGACAGGTCTTCTGCGTCCTCGGGGAAGGCTCAAAGAACTCCTCGGGAGGCCCCGGGACTCTCGAGCCTTCTGGGAAGGCCCGCCCCTTCTCACGTCCGCCCCGGGCCCGCCGCACAGGGGAGGCATCGCGGCCTTCGCAGGCCCCACAAAGTTCACGAACGCATATCCGAAATTCTTGCCCGTGTTGAACTCGATAGGCAAATAGACGAAGTCGTACGCGCCCCGGAACCCGTTGCCGTCCATCGCCTTGCGCCAAAGCCGCGCTCCGGCCTTCGAGATGCCTACAAGAGAGAGGAGGGACGAGGAGAAGGCGAGGAGGAGGAGCGGGAAGGAAGGAAAAGGAGAGTGAATTGCGGACAAGCGGTGGGGTCTTCAAGACCAGCCCGAATTCAGCACCCTCTGACCTGAAGTGATTCTGAAACCCAACCCCTCCTGCGACGCTCCTGCGGTGGCACCGTGGCGGAGTCTGCCGCAGGCAGCTGGATGCGCGCTGACATCTTCAGACAAAGATTTGAAGGAAGCATCCAGGCGGACAGACGGACAGACAGGCAGATGGCACCGAGCGCCACAAACTGCGACGGGAAGCCAGAAGCCAACGCACGACAGTGTGCCCCAGGAGCGATCTGCTCGTCGAGAGTCTGCCGGCCACGGCCAAAGCCGGAAGAGCCACGCGTGCAAAACGACGACAAACATGGATGACGACTGCGGACGGCGAGGACGGCGGCGGCGACGGGGAGGGGGCCGAAGACACCGAAGTGGCCCTGGCGGAACGGATGCGACCAGACTTGAGCTGATCCCTATCCCCGAGATGGGCAAGCCAGAAGCGATGACAACATCAGGAGTGTGCCCTCATGAAACTGGGGGAATCCTCAAGGTCGGCGCCGACGTAAGGTGATGCCAAGCATAAGGATCCGCCACCGTGCCTCTGGGCACGTAGAGGGCGGGTCCTCGAGTCCTTTGGCCAATCCCCTGAGCCCGAGTCCTCGGTCCTGAGGAGATTCCCAGGGCCCCAGAGCCCAAATTCACAAATCTACCCGGGCTTGGCGCGGTCCCCTCGGGCCTTGGCACATCTTGTCGCGTGACTCTTCCGGGCACTCGAGGGCCCCAAGACGAGCCCAGAGGGTCCGAGGAGGCCTCCCAGAGGCACGGTAAAGAGGAGAAGGAGGAGGAGGAGGAGGAGGAGGAGGAGGAGGAAGAGGACGAGGAGGACGACGACGAGGAGGACACGGAGGGGGAGGAGGAGTAGGAGGAGGAGGAGGAGGAGAGGAGGAGGAGGAGGAGGAGGAGGAGGAGGAGGCGAAGGAGGCGAAGGAGGAGGAGGAGGAGGAGGAGGACGAGCAGACGGAGGAAGAGGCGGAGGAGGAGGAGGAGGAGGCGGAGGAGGAGGAGAAGGGCGGAGGAGGCGGAGGAGGAGGAGGCGGAGGAGGAGGAGGAGGAGGGGCGGGATGGGCCGAAGGCCACCCAATATGGACAAGGATGCGCTTCAAGCTGGCAAGAAGCGCGGGCGCAACAAAAAGAACGAGCCGTCCTCGAGCAGCGCAGCCCGCGTCAGCGCGTGGGGCATGCCCCGGATGACCTCGGCTGGACAGGCGCGTTCCGCCACTCGCAAAAAAAACACTCGCAAATGGCATGCATCCACCCGAGAGCGCTCGTCGTCGTCGTCGTCGTCGCCGCCGTCGTCGTCGTCGTCGTCGCCGTTGTCGTCGTCGTCGTCGTCGTCGTCGTCGTCGTCGTCGTCGTCGTCGTCGTCGTCGTCGTCGTCGTCGTCGTCGTCGTCGTCGTCGTCGTCGTCGTCGTCGTCGTCGTCGTCGTCGTCGACGCCATTCGGGGTCGGCGGCGGCACTGGCCGTAAGGCCTTCGCAAAATAAGCACTCGCAAATGGCCTGGATCCGCCGCGGGGGGCTTCACGATCCATGACAGATAAGAAACACGTTTTTGTTGTCCAGACGCTTGCGAGGAGGCACCCTGCTAGTAGCGGCACGCGTTCGGGGACCTCGGCGGGCGGAGGCAGGGAGGCCGAGCACACATACCGCGCAGCGGCGCCTCTTGCTGCCCCAGGCCGCAAGGAAGGCCTTCCCCGAGGGGGAGGGGGAGGTGGAGGTAGAGGGGGGGGGGGGAGAGAGCAGAGGAGGGGTAGGGGGTAGGGGGGAGGGGGAGGGGGAGGGGGAGGGGGATGGGGAGGGGGAGGGGGGAGATGGGGGGGGGGAGAGGAGGAGAGGGGAGGGGGAGGGGGAGAGGGGAAAGCTAGGTGCGCTCGCGTCATATCTGACGTCCTACCCCTCCCTCCCATCCCTTACCATGGCGCTGATTTTCTCTATCCGCGGACGCGTGTCGTAGCGGACTTGTGGCTCCGCGCGCGCGTGCGTAGTGGGTGGTGGTGCGCGTGCGTGCGTGCGTGCGTGTGTGTGCGTGGTGGTGGTGGGTGGTGGTGGTGAGTGGTGGTGGTGGTGGTGGTGGTGGTGGTGGTGGTGGTGGTGGTGGTGGTGGTGGTGGTGGTGGTGGTGGTGGTTGTGGTGGTGGTGGTGGTGGTGGTGATGGTGGTGGTGGTGGTGGTGGTGGTGGTGCTGGTGGTGGTGGTGGTGATGGCGGCGCGGTGGTGGCGGGCGGATGGGCGCGCGAGAAAGAGGCCCGCGCTGGGGCGAGAACGCTATCCTGAACGACGGAGGCCAAACACCGATCCGAAAATGAGGCCCACGCTGCAGCGGGAGCACGATTCGGAACGATTCGGGAGCAGAAATGAGGCCGGCGCCTCAGCGAGAGCAGCATTTTGAAAAAAACACAAGCGAAAACCCGTTTCCCGGGAATCCTGTGTGTAAAAACCAATACGCGGGGGGGTGTCGGATATCTTCGGGACGCCATCAGGGGAAGTGGGAGAATATTTTCACATTGTGTAATTGTGGAGGGGGGAGGGACAAGCTAAATGCGCTCGCGTCATATCTGACATCCTACCCCTCCCTCCCATCCCTTACCATGGCGTAGATCCCTTTTCTGCTCGCACAGTCGGATGTTGAGCAGGGCAATGATCCCGAAAGGGTACGCGATGCATTGTAGAGCACGGCATGGCATGGCGTAGACGAGCACCGCAAAGCGTAGTATGTCCCAGCATTGCGTGGCGTGGCGTAGTGAAGAATTGCATCACAAAGCTTTGCAACGCAAAGCATGGCATCGCACAGCGGCCCCGAACATAACATTGCATAGCATGGCGTTGAAGATCAAAGCGTAGCATGGCATAGCATGACGTGGCACTTACGCACTGGATATGACAGCTGCAGCTGAAGGCATGGCATCGCGCAGCGGCACACAACCTAGCATTGCATTGCATTGCATGCCGTGGCATGACACGGGGAATGACGCCAGCGCTGCAGCGGGAGCACGATTCGGAACGAGCGGAAGCGCGGAAATGAGGCCAACGCTGCAGCGGGAGCACGATTCGGAACGAGCGGAAGCACGGAAATGAGGCCAGCGCTGCAGCGGGAGCACGATTCGGAACGAGCGGAAGCCCGAAAATTAAGCCCGCGCCTCAGCGAGAGCATCATTTTGAAAAAAAACCAAGCGAAAACCCAACTCCGGGAAATCCTGTGTAAAAAACCATACGCGGAGGGGTGCCCGCTTTCTTCCGCACGCCATCAGGGGATGGAGGAGAGTAGTATTCATATTGTGTAATTGTGAAGGGGAGGGGGGAGGGGGAGGGGGAGGGGGATGGGGGAGGGGGATGGGGAGGAGGAGGGGGGTGAGGGAGGAGGGGGAGGGGGGGAGGCGGGAATGGCAAGCTAGGTGCGCTCGCGTCATATCTGACGTCCTACCCCTCCCTCCCATCCCTTACCATGGCGCTGATTTTCTCTATCCGCGGACGCGTGTCGTAGCGGACCTGTGGCTCCGCGCGCGCGTGCGTAGTGGGTGGTGGTGCGCGTGCGTGCGTGCGTGCGTGCGTGCGTGTGTGGTGGTGGTGTGGTGGTGGTGGTGGTGGTGGTGCTGGTGGTGGTGGGTGCTGGTGCTGGTGCTGGTTGTGGTTGTGGTGGTGGTGGTGGTGGTGGTGGTGGTGGTGGTGGTGGTGGTGGTGGTGGTGGTGGTGGTGGTGGTGGTGGTGGTGGTGGTGGTGCGGCGCGGTGGTGGCGGGCGGATGGGCGCGCGAGAAAGAGGCCCGCGCTGGGGCGAGAACGCCATCCTGAACGACGGGGGCCAAACACCGATCCGAAAATGAGGCCCACGCTGCAGCGGGAGCACGATTCGGAACGATTCGGGAGCAGAAATGAGGCCGGCGCCTCAGCGAGAGCAGCATTTTGAAAAAAACGCAAGCGAAAACCCGTTTCCCGGGAATCCTGTGTGTAAAAAACAATACGCGGGGGGGGTCGGATATCTTCGGGACGCCATCAGGGGAAGTGGGAGAGTATTTTCATATTGTGTAATTGTGGAGGGGAAGGGCCCAAGGGGGGAAGGAGGGGGGAAGGGGGAGGCGTGCTGGGGATGGGGGAGAGGGGAAAAATATCACGACGGCGGGCCTCTCGGCTCCGTTTTTCCGGCCTCCCGGGGGCCCCCCCGACCCGACCCCGACCCGGCCTCGGGGCCGTCGGAGAAGACGGCTCAGGATAGTAGAAGGCCGGCCCCCCTCGAGGAGGAAGGAGATGAAGGAGGAGGAGGAGGGAGGAGGAGGAGGAGGAGGGAGGAGGAGGGAGGAGGAGGAGGCGAGGAGGAGGAGGAGGAGGATGGGGGGGGGCGGGGGAGGGGAGGAGGAGGGGGAGGAGGGAGGAGGAGGAGGAGGAGGAGGAGGAGGAGGAGGAGGAGGAGGAGGAGGAGGAGGAGGAGGAGGAGGAGGAGGGAGGAGGAGGAGGAGGGGGAGGAGGGGGCGGGGCGGGAGGAGGGGGAGGGGGGGAGGTGAGGGGGGAGGGAGGAGGAGGAGGAGGAGGAGGAGGAGGAGGAGGAGGAGGAGGAGGAGGAGGAGGAGGAGGAGGAGGAGGAGGGGAGGGGACGAGGAGGAGGAGGAGGGAGGAGGAGGAGGAGGAGGAGGAGGAGGAGGAGGAGGAGAAGGAGGGAGGGGGAGAGGGAGGAGGAAGGAGGGGAGGGGGAGGAGGAGGAGGAGGAGGAGGAGAGGAGGAGGAGGAGGAGAGAAGGAGGAGGAGGAGGAGGAGGAGGAGGAGGAGGAGGAGGAGGAGGAGGAGAAGGAGGAGGAGGAGGAGGAGGAGGAGGAGAAGGAGGAGGAGGAGGAGGGGGAGGGGGAGGAGGGGGAGGAGGAGGAGGAGAGAGGAGGAGGAGGAGGAGGAGGAGGAGGAGGAGGGGGAGGGGGAGGGGGAGGAGGAGAAGGAGGGAGGGGGAGAGGGAGGAGGAAGGAGGGGGAGAGGAAGGAGGAGGAGGAGGAGGAGGAGGAGGAGGACGGAGAGGAGGGAGGAGGAAGGAGGGAGGAGGAGAGGAGGGAGGAGGAGAGGAAAGAGGGTGGAGGAAGGAGAGAAGGGAGGAGGAAGGAGGGAAGGAGAGGCACGCAGGGACCGTCTTTTTCAAAACGAGGGCCCAACACCACAGGACGGTTGGGAAAAAATCCCGACGGAAGGTCTGCCCTAATGTCCTTCGGGCGTTGGCAGAACTTGGTTTAGTGGGACCTGGTTTAATGATGTGTACTGGGGGACGCCCCTCCGCCCCGCTCCACTAATCGGAACTGCCGCTACGGCAGACCTGGTTTGATTCTGGCCAATTCGAGGGCTCCAAGGCCCTACTACTGACCGGGTCCTACCACCAACCGTGCTATACCTGAGTCCTATCTCCTGGGGGGCCCGACGGCCGTCGGAAAAGTCGGCTCGGGACACACGGCCGGCCCCCCTCGAGCCATGGAAAAAATCACGACGGAAGCTCGGCCCCAGTTTCTGGTCTCCTGGGGGGCCCGTCCGGGCCTCGGGGCCCTCGGAAAAGCGGGCTCGGGATAGAAGGCGGGCCCCACTCGAATCATGAAACAAATCACGACGGAAGCTCGGCCCTAATTTCTGGTCTCCTGGGGGGCCCGTCCGGGCCTCGGGGCCCTCGGAAAAGCGGGCTCGGGATAGAAGGCGGGCCCCACTCGAATCATGAAAAAAAAAAAAAAAACGACGGGAGGTTTCCCCCGATTTTCAGTATCCGCAGGCCCCGACTGGGCCTCGGGGCCGTCAGAAGACGGCTCAGGATAGAATCCCGGTCCAAGGAAATGGGAACCTCTTGGGGTGGACGCTGTGAAATGATCATAACGTCGGGGGTCTGGGTGTACGTATATACGCCTCAGAAGTGGATCCTCAACATGTTGCCGTGGTTTCCAAGGTTCCGTTCGAGTGCTTCCTGCTGGCCTACCCCTCCTCTTTCTTCTCGTGCATCCTGTTCTACCACCCGTCAAATGTTCATCACTCTCCTCCTCGCTCTCCTCCCTGGAAGGACCCAAAGGGACACGACTGGAAGCTGGACGTTGACCTGCTCCCGAACGCGGTCGAGGCTTCCAGGGACTTGGACCAGTCTGTTTTGTTGGCGGCAATTGCGTCCGGCGTCGAGATCTGTTGCTGGCGGCAGGCATCAAGCTTCGATGATGGAGTGGGACTCGAACAAGGCACTGATCTGTCATTGCACCGACCTTGCAGACGTGCTGCAGCGGATTTTTGCGTGGATTTCTGTCAACGCGAAATCCCGAAACAGCGAGCGAAAAACGAAGTGAACTCACGTGGACTTGTTTGTAGCCTTCAGGTCCTGACCAACGAGTGTCCGCGCGGAAGTCACCTCGAAGTCCGCAACGAAATTCTCCAGGACGGTCCAGACCCATCCCATTGCTTTTCGAGCGAAGTCCGCTCCGCGATGTTGGCACCACGACGATCTGCACGGTCACGGCAGGCTCTGGAGCGAGAAGGAGCGCCTCTGGGCGAGCACGCCCCAGCGGGATCGCCCAGAGGCGCTCCTTCTCGCTCCAAGGGGTCGAGCACGGGAGACGTACACAGTGGAGGCCAGTCCACAGGAAACCTTCCGCAAGAAGCACAACCCTGAGACCTCAGGACGTCCATTGTTTTTTGGCGTTGGAACGTCACGCCTTCCATCGCAAAGCCACTGTACTTGGCATGGGTCTCCACTGCACTCGAACCAGCACAGGAGACATATACTTTTAGGTCGGGCGTGTCCCCCTACAGGCGGGTCTTGGATAAAAAAAAAGATGCACAACCACTATTCAAACATGGCAAATGCTTTACGACAAAACAGAAAAAACAAAAAAAAAAAAAAAAAAAAAAAAAAAAAAAAAATCCTCATGACATGTTTCGACTATGTTTGAATGTTCGTCCTGTCGAGGGACACGCCCGACCTAAATATACTTGAACAGATGCCCCATGCGCCCGAGATGCAGGCTGCACCCAGAGAAAATTCGGCATCGAGTCTGGCAATCTCGTGAGGATACTTGCGTTGGGGATCTTTCTGTTCATCATCTCCAGGACCGAGCCGTGAACGAATTGGCCTCCAACCGCAGCAGATGTTGAGGCTTCGAGGTCTCACCTGGGCCCCATGGAACGTAGCCCAAGAGCCCCGCCAAACAAATGAGATCACCGTGTCGGAGTTGGGGCCCGAACCTAGGGCCCAAGCGGGACCGAACGAAGGCCCACAGTGGGCTGCGGGAAGCTGGTCGGGAGGGCACTGCAGAGGG